GGGAACGGTAGCGCCGACTATGTTTAATATCATCAAAGATGACACCAATTGGAAGCCACACCATCACCAGCAGTTGGCCTACAAACTCACACATTTGTACTACAATTGGATCGTAAGTGTCGGCCCCCTATGGCCTCTCTGTCCCCTCCATTATCATTCATTAATTAACCGTCTGTCTGTCCCATAGGGTACTATCCGAGTGCCGGCCCCCTGTCAGTACGCCCACAAACTGGCGTACCTGACGGGCACTGCCCTTCACCGCGAGCCTAACACTAAGCTGTCGGACACACTGTTCTACCTGTAAGTGGACAGTCCGGTCAGCATTACTCGGCCAACACTGCCGTTAAACACAATTTGCAAACATTCGACACATTTTTGGACATTTTATATTTAAATATACTTTTATTACCATTTGTTGTCTCATATGTCTCACTCTCGACATTCAGTTAATTTAAGTTTTTTAAGAGTTTTTTGATTTTTCAGAATTTATATTTTATTTTAAGTGTGAATTTAGTTAACCATTGTTTTCTCTTTTATACCATTCCCTCCATAATCATTGCATGACATTATGACTGAAGTTTTTATTGTCATTTTGTTTTTAATTGTTTTTCTTTTGTAACTTAATTATAGTTTTTTTGATACCAAAGTTTTTGTGTTCACATTGTTTTTTGATGATTTTTTGTTCACTATTTTTATGTATTGTTTGCAAATTTTAACCCATTTTTTCAGGCCTTACACTAGTATTTGATTAAAAGTTTTGATAAATAAAAGTTGATTTAAAAGCATTGTATGTTTTGTAATTTTATTTATTTGTTTGATTTAATGAGAAAACAAAAAACAATCATTCGTTTGCAGTATTTTTTATGGCGAGAATATACATAATAACACTGAAATCGCTATGAAAATTGAATTAACAATTGAAACTTAATCGGTAATTAACATCACATCGACTTGGCTTTCAGTTATCACAATATGATTTGTCGACAAAATAAAATATATAAGAATTTGTGTGTTTTATATTAATATATATATATCAATCAATTGGTAATTAAATTAAAATCTTAAATCAATTATACAATCAATAACTTAAGTCCGAGAGAGAAAGTGTTGAGTAATATAATAATTAAAAAACAATTTCGTACTAAAAATAGACATCAAATCAATCGATTAAACGGTC